TTTCATTGAAGACTAGAACAAATTGTTGTATTCCATGGATCCTCTAAAGAAATGATGGCAATATGTCCAAAAACCAAGCGTTCATTTTCTTGGAGTTGCTTCGTGAACGAACAACTTTTGTGGGTTTCAGTTCACTTCGACATACCCAAACAGTAGATTGTTGCTGTTGTACAACGATTGGAATCGTAGGAACTTTTCAATAAACAACATGTGAGCAATATAAACTGCCAAATTATAGTAATACGTCATCAATCGGAGAAATTGCCGACGACTCGCGTTTGTATAGCTATCTTCAATGTACTGAGTGTGAATGAATTTTCAAGCAGAAACTCTTCCTGATTAACCCCAAACATTAATTGTTTTTCCATTTTCGTTCGTCACAAGTGTACTTGTCTTTCGCTAACTTTTTTTTATTTTTTTCAGGATGCCCGCAAAGCGGCTTGTGACACCTCCCTTGTGCAGGCCACTGCCAGCCTCGAACCCATTGGAAGAGTGCAGATGCGAACAAGACGTACTCTCCGTGGTCACTTGGCCAAGATCTATGCGATGCACTGGGGCTCGGACTCGAGGAACCTCGTCTCGGCTTCACAGGACGGAAAACTCATCGTTTGGGACAGCCACACCACGAATAAGGTGGGTAATACAGTAATATATCGTTATAGAAATAGAAATAGATTTATTTGAAATAGATATCCTAATATACATGTTAGGAATCACACGTTAAAAGGTAAGACCTCGTTAGTCCTTAGCTCGCACAAGTTTCTCAATTTCTGAGAGTTGTCGTTCGTTTTTAAACAGAAGAATTACAAAAAAACTGAAAATAATACCCTATATAATGGAATATATTGGGTAAAACATAGCAGTAGTAGATGATGAAGAGATTAATAGAAAGAAGAATGATGAACAACTCAATTGGAATAGTATTGTGCCCGTAGATATTGAGATAAGGAGCGTTTGAAGAGTTGAAGGGTGTTACTTTGTTTAATTTCATTAGGAAGCTTGTTATAGTCCAAGAGTCCTCTGTGAAAAATAGAATTCATTGTTCTTGCAAGGTTAGTTCGTGGGACAACCAAGTCATCTCTTCCTCTTGTATCGTATTTGTGTATCTGATGGTTATATGTAATAAACTCATTGAAGTAATGTGGTGCTTTTCCAGTGAGTATTTTGAATATGAATATCATAGAAAAATATTGTAATCTATCTTTTACTGTCATCCAATTCAGAATATTAATCATTGATAATATAGGAGTATATTTATGGCATTTTAATAACAAGCGCATTCCTCTGTTTTGTGATTTTTGTAGAGTAGAGATAGAATTACCGTCTAGTAATGATATCAAAGTAGCACAGTAATCAAAGTGTGGTAGGATTATTGTTTTATAAACAGTCAAATTAGATTGGAATGTTAATTGTCTACTAATTCTAGTAAAGAAAAACAATTTTTTAGAAATTTTATTACACATATACTGGAAGTGTTTTTTTAAGTTCAAAGTGTTATCAACGATGAAGCCTAGGTATTTGAATTCTTTCACAATTTCTATAGTTTCGCCGTAGATCTCAATATTAATGGAGTTGATATCAATTAAGTTATATTTATATTGTGTTGTCAATATCATAGCTTTCGTTTTAGTGGTATTCAGTTTGAGTTTGTTTATGTTCAAAAACTTCGCCACGTTTTCAAGAGTCAAATTAATTTTGCGTACAGCATTATGAATATCAGAGTTGCTTGCTGCAATGAGAGTATCATCTGCAAAGAGGTTGATGAATTCACAGTCACTAATAAAATTTAGGTCATTCAAATAAAGTATGAATAAAACAGGGCCAAGTACACTCCCTTGGGGGACCCCGGTATCAATTGATTTTTGGCTTGATAGGATGTTGTTTATTTTAGTACATTGAGGTCTGTTGAGTAAATAACTTCTGAACCATAGCAACACCCTACCAGTTATTCCATAGTACTCTAATTTTGATATAAAAATAGATATATCTATAGTATTGAATGCTCTTTTGAAATCCAAAAATACTGCTACTACATATTTATTGTCATCAGTTGACAGTTTACATTTAGACAAAGTGAGTTGAAGAGCAGTTTCACATGAGTGTTGCGATCTAAAACCTGATTGATACTCCATCAAAAGGCTGTTGTCTTCGATATATGTGCATGTTTGTTTATAAGCAGCTAACTGTAATACTTTTTCTAAAGGAGGCAGAGTGATTATGGGACGAAAGTTTAAGGCTTCATTTGCGTTGTAAACTTTAGCCACAGGAACAACTTCACTAATTTTGAGTTGATCTGGAAAGTGCCCATTTATCAATTTATCGCTGAAAAGTTTCTCGTCTTCTGTCATTGTTGCACGTCGGTTTTTTTCACTCTTTCCCTCCTCATCTCGGAGACCATGTAAGAATGTTCAACGTGTTGGGTTTTACTCGTAACCAAAATATTGTGATGTATGAATTAATTTTTTGTTTTCAGGTTCACGCAATCCCACTCAGATCATCATGGGTGATGACATGCGCTTACGCCCCGTCTGGAAGCTTTGTAGCCTGCGGTGGTTTAGATAACATATGCTCTATTTATAGCCTAAAAACTAGAGAGGGTAACGTACGGGTGAGCAGAGAGTTGCCCGGCCACACAGGATATCTATCTTGTTGCCGTTTCCTTGATGATAATCAGATTGTTACCAGCTCTGGGGATATGTCTTGCGCCTTGTGGGACATTGAAACTGGTCAACAGCTCACTTCTTTTCTAGGACACACTGGTGACGTGATGTCACTGTCGCTTTCTCCGGACATGCGCACATTTGTTTCAGGTGGGTTGAATTTTTATGTTTCCCCATATTTTATCTATACCTTACGATGATTTACTGAAGAAACAATAAATTTTGGTTACTGAACATTTTGCTGGCAATTGAAAATACGAGGGTGGTATACCAACAAAGAAAACACAAACATTTTGAAATGGCTATTCAAATTCATTTCTGTACATGGGGATCTCGTAAACGATAAGAGATAGAGTGTCGGTTAAATTATGGCAAAGTTAATAATAATAATAATATCATTTATTGCCCAACAGGTAACACCCAATAATGGGACATAATTAAATACATCAGTACTGATAATAGATAAAATAAATTAACAAATCATGTTCATTCTTGACATGCTATATGAATATAACATAACAATGATATATAACATCGAATAGAAAACAAAAGAAAGAAAACTAAAACAAAAGAAAAAAAACTGATAGTATAACTATTCATTGCGCTACTTGATAAGAGTGATTATAATAACTGACTCTCTCACAACACAAAAAAGAAAAAACAGTTTTGATATCACTTTAAGATTTCCATTGCAACTTCTTTTATATGATTCGCTGAGCAAGTATTAATATCGCAAAAGCTGCATATCGAGTTGTAGTTTTCACACATATTAATTTGAGAATGCGATATTATGTTTGTTCGTGCTGCAGAGCAGCACGTTCGTGCTGCAGATTCAGCCGTGACTGAGCTCTTGGCACCCTAAAGTTCAGTTCTGACATGAGCAAATGGGATTGTTCCCACATTTGAAAAAGTATTTAGTAATGGTGAAATATTCAATGCTAATTGATCATTCAGTAAATTACTGGAATTCCTGGATCTATTGATTTCTAAACATTCTAGAAGATTAAGTTTCAAACTTTTCTCTTCTAAATGTAACACGTCGTATTCATGATGGAATTCATGTCCTTCTGCTAAAAGGTGGTTTGCAAATGTTGGAATTGGTCTTTCTATTCTCAAAACTCAGTCGATGTTCTTTAATTCTTTGTTGAAATGTTCTCCCTGTTTGGCCAATATACAGTTTTGGGCTAGAGCCACAAGTCAGCATATACTCCTGATCTATCCGACACCGAACTTTTGTCTTTATTGTTTTTAATGAATTTATGTAGACTATTATTCGTTCTGTAAGCTACGTTTACATATTCTTTCTTGAAAAAACGAACAATACTATTGGTTGGTTCACCCAAATATGACAATGTCCTATAACTGACGTTATCGCATCTTGAATTTGGGTAGACCCGGTCCATGGCTTGCGTTTGTAGGTTTTTGGAAAGAATGGAGTCTATAATACCTACTTTATAACCGTTGTTGACCACGATTTGTTTGATCAAACTCAACTCTCTCTGGAAATTACTCTCAGACAGTGGAATATTCAATAGTTTGTGAAGAATACTATTGAATGCAGGAACTTTATGCTGGTAAGGGTGTGTGGAGGAATTATGTATGATAATGTCCGTGAAATTCATGATAGTCAGTAAACTAAGTTTTTTATACTTGTATAGATAAGTAGATGATATCTTAGTCTGATTTACTGGTACAGATAGGCAATTAGGCAAGTTCATTGAATATGTCAATTCCATCCACCCGTCAACAAAATCAACTACTGAAAATAACAATAAACATGATATTGCAGTTTTCCACAAACCATCTTACAAGGGCATTTTCAACAAAAATGTTTGCTATTGATGGCTGCCAAACAAATATTAAACAACGCAGCGTCTTCAAACTTGAAACATATGCTGTATAGATTGTGTATTTTTTCAAACAACTACCGCCATCTCTGACTCAGGGCGGGTACTTGTGGGACCACCCTCTTGTTTTATTTCAGCACCTGATTCGTAATTTTCAATATCTGATATATCACATATTATTCATTATGAGTAAAGTATTTGCGTGTTGAAAAAATGTATTCTAAATTTCAGCACTCTATTAAATTTTGTAAGAGAGATTAAGTTGATGGTTACACGAAATAGTTTCAATTTGAGTGTGGTTCCTTTGAATATGAGTACTTTGATTTTAAGTCATTCTTAAATGCATATTATATATGTGTGTGTTCAATGCTCATAATCATGCTTTTTGAATAATGAATAAGTTTTAAAACATCTATTTTTTTTTGTAGGAGCTTGTGACGCCTCGGCAAAACTGTGGGACATACGAGAGGGTCTCTGCAAGCAGACCTTCCCGGGTCACGAATCGGACATAAATGCTGTCACATTCTTTCCCAACGGTTTTGCATTTGCTACTGGTAGCGATGATGCTACATGTAGGCTGTTCGACATTAGGGCCGATCAGGAATTGGCCATGTACAGTCACGATAATATCATTTGCGGTATCACGAGTGTTGCATTCAGCAAATCTGGTCGGTTACTCTTGGCTGGTTATGATGATTTCAACTGTAATGTTTGGGATTCTATGAAAACGGAAAGAGCAGGTAAGATTTTATCCTATTTGTTTTCTATGAAAAAAAAAATCGTTTGATGATGTACACACAACAGAACTAGAGAACATTTTCTCAGTGTGCTAACCAACTCAGCACGATTATGAGATAACTAAAACTAATTCATTACATTATCTTCACAGTAATTTGTATTCATCCCGTGGGACTTTAGGGTAATGGGACTCGAACCAGAATGAATTTTTCTGTTAATTTATTGTTGGCTGAAAAAAAGGAGTTCTTGAAATAGAAACTTTGTTGCTATTCATTGATCTCAGTGGACAAGTCATGTACAGGTTTCAAAAGTACCCAGAACTTCTCGTTTATACTGGGACTGTTCTCTAATGCAGATAGACTCTGGTCTATGAAACTGAAAACTTGAAATGTTCTCTTTTGAGCGAGTTAGTATTCTGACTAGTTTGTCCAACATACATTTGTCGCAGTCCTCGCAGTTTATTTCGTAGGTCCTAGACTTCTTGGATTCCATCATCTTAATCAAAATGAACATTCGCAGTTTGTTCTAGATCATTATTTACTATGGTCATAAATCAACGAACTTGACACCAAGACTTACGAATTTTTAGAATCACCTTTCCTTGAGTAAAATATAAATATTTTGAGAAGTATATACGAGTATATCATGTTTGAACATGAACTCTAAAACATGCATTCTGAACTTCATATGTCGACAAAACGTTGACCTCTTAGTTTGTTTTTTACGTGCGGGAATAAAAAGAATTCATTCGGTGCCAAGTCAGGACTATACGGCGGATGACTCATCAAATCGATGTTTTGGGTGTTCAAAAATGCAGTTGTTCAAGCCGATATGTGAGAGCTTGCATTGTCAATAGTGAAGTTGGCTGGTTTTCCTGATTTCTTGGAAGACAACTGGCAAACAAGTGATTGTGTACTACTCAGAATTGACTGTTCTGCGTTGTTCTAGTGGTACATTTCGACATGTCCAGTTTTTTTGAAAAAACAGGCGACCATTTGCTTGGAAGTGCTTCGTCCGCGAACATCTTTTGTTGGATTGCAATATCAGTTTGTGCACAGCATCAATGGTTTTCGGAACAACAACTGATTTTGGACGACCTTCGTCTTGGAGTGAACTACGACCACGACTGAATTCACCATACCATCGATAAACACTGGTCCTTGATGGAGCTTCATCGCCATAAATTGAATTAAGTTCATCCATGCACTGTTGCTGAGTTAATCCACGTCGAAAGTTGTGAAAAATAATTGCACGAAAATGTTCACGACTTGATTCCATTTTTAGGCCGAGATGAATATTTTAAGTTACTGTAAACAACAAAAATAGCGCGTGTATGTCAAAACGTTCTGAGTACGTATAAACTCAAAAATGTCCAACTTTACAATAGAGCTATCAGTTGCCAGATTGCAATAAAGCAAATTCAAATCCAAGATAGAGTGGATGTAAACATTGATATGTCCTACGCACGTGATATTGAAAATCCCAAGAATTGGCCAGGGTCGTATTCAGAACCAACATCTTGTTGGTCGCAAATGCTATGTCATACTTAGGAATACTTTTTTATAATAACGAGTGAAATGCACAAGTTTTGCAGTTTAACGGGAAAAATACAGATAATATGTGTATTATAAAAATATTTTTATTGGATTTTTCACAGCGCACTCAAGCATTATATGAAAAGAGACGTAATTATTTCTTCATTGTCGTGCCCCTATTGTGTTATCAAACTTCCACATCTTTATCTCGACTTCCGATATCACATGCCTAACACACTTCTCCCATTTCTCCGCTGTGACTCTTTTCAAAGCCTCATCAAAAAGTACTTTGAGATCTGCAAATTTGAACGTGGTGTTATGCTGAGCTACAAAATTCTTCACATCCGCCCATATTAACTCGATGGGATTGAGCTCGCAGTGGTATGGAGGCAGGCGAAGGACAATTTTGTTTCGGCCTGCTGCCATCTATCGACTATATATTTTTGGTATTCAAGCTTGCGCTCCTTGACAATTTTTAGTAGCTGTACTCTTAGCATTGAGTCATCAAAGCTAATATTCTTTGATCGCAGCCAATTTTGGATTTCAACCTTCTTTGAAGACGTTGTCGGAATCTTCTCTAAACGTCGCGAATGATAAGGTGCATTGTCCATTACAATCACAGCATTATCCTCCAGATGGGGTAGAACTTTGGAAAACCACTGTTCGAAAGATTCACCGTTCATTTCTTCGTGATAATCTCCAGTTTTCTTCGACTCGAAACACCACAGCCCTTCAGCAACAAACCCATTCTCGTTGCCGATGTGATAAATAATAAGCTGTTTTCCTTTACCTGAAATTATGAAGAGGTATGTAAGTAAATAAAACAAATACGAGGGTTACTTTTTATATATTGAGATTGAGGCAGGTCCTAATATAAATATAAGTTCACCTGATGGATTTGTTAATCCGGTGGATAGTCCATCTAGAAAGGCCCTCCTAGATGAGGTCACAGTTTCATCGACCCATACTTTAGGGGTAGTATGACCTGCATTAACCAAGGTTTCATCCATATAATGAATTGTTCTCTGTTGTTCCCTATAATATTTAATTTTGTTCAAATACTCTCTCCTCCATAACACAATTTCCTCTCTATCCAATAATTAACTATTGCGCCCTCGTTTTTTTCATACAAAATTCAAATGTTTCAATACTTTATGGAATGTTGACCGCTTAAAACTTGGCAATAATACATCTTCATTTATTTCTGTGAGTACTTTGTCTATCGTGGGTATTTCATTTCTGAAAAAGTACTCATGCACTTTCTTCCTGATTGCATATTTATTAGCATCGTCTATTGATTTTATAATGGTTTGACGATTCTGATTTTGTTTATATTCCCGTAAAACATTGTAAATCGAAGCGCAACACACTCCAATTTTATCGGAAACTTTCGAAACGACTTCGTCGACAGTCGATGTCTGAATTTCTTCCATCTCTTTCTTGAACAAATTTAAAATCACTTCTTTCATCTCAACACTCAAATGTCTTTTTTTTTATCGTTTTCTGGCTGGACTCAGAGGATAGCTCACAGTGTCTGTATTGGACATCTTGGAAAACAATTTTAAACAATATACTATACCACACGCCACACAAACACGCACACGACTGATTACAACCCTGTGCTGGTACCGAACTCGTACCAAGAAGGCGAATTCACCAATGAACACTGCCCTTTCCATCAGACACTGGGCGATCACGTGAACATCACGCTTCGGTTTTGTTTTGTTTTACTCTATCTTGGATTTGGATAGACTTTAGTGTTGCCAAATCCCGAAACATAAAAGGCAACCCTCGTAAGTTGACTTGTGCTTCTTGCCCAGTCTTAGATAACTGGCTGCTTCTGGTCAAAAAATCCTCGTTCAATAAACTATTTCATCCACTTTCCTACAGAAAATATTCATTCATTGTTATATTTGTTACAGGTATATTGGCCGGCCATGATAATCGTGTCAGTTGTCTAGGAGTAACTGAAAATGGAATGGCAGTAGGAACAGGTTCTTGGGACAGTTTCCTACGTATATGGAATTAAGTTAGAGATGCCAAATCTATCATATTTCTCACCCGCATCACAACTTTCATTCTCCATTATCTTTTTGCATTTACAAGGAACAAAGCATTTTTCTATCCAAGTACATGTAAAAATTTTGTATTTTAAATATCCTTTGCTTCTTTCATAGTATTTTCCCCGCAACCCTTTAGTAGCTTTATGATGTATTTTTTTTATAGTTTTTAAGGTATTTGTTATTTTTGTGATTATTCCAAAAAATTTAACCTTATCCCTGTATGTTGTGTATAGTATTTAATGTCATTTATTTCAATAAATCAGTATTTTTATTTTTTTTGTTTTTCATCTTTTTTTTTCTGTTTCATCGTTTCCGTTCAGTTTGTGATGTGGGTGAGAATGCGCAGGGGAGTTCAGTACGTATGCAATCATTGAGCATACCAGTTTTAATTTTTGTTAGTTACAAGTACAAAAAATACGACCAAGCTAGTTGAATTACCGTACTGTTCGATCCAAAAGAGCGTTTTTACTTCAGTTCGTTTTCCTCAAATCATTCTCATCTAAGGAACGACTATGTGAAAATGTTTTTCTTCCTCATGGTATAAAAATCAATCTGCTGAACAAAAGTAAATATGGCGAAAGACTAGTCTAAAAATATTAACCAAAAATTGAAAAAGTGTGCCATAACCTCAATTTCAGTGACGTCACAACAAGAGACCAATAATAGTGGATTGTGGCGTTTCGAGTTAGATTTTTGGTTAACAAGCGACGGGCAGACTATAAATCAATTCATTTTGAGATACTGCCTCTACAAATGCCGTTTAGAACACAGTGTTCCATTTTGATAACACCCCCTTTTTTTATCAACTATTTTTTGTTGATATTTTCTTTGTAACATCGCAGTTATGTAAATATTATGTTCCTCTGAAATGTTCTCGTTTTTATTTTATTTTGTATCATGATAAGGTTTTACTGTATGAATAAATATAGCTTCTGCTTGAATGTAAGTGGTATGAACAAGCATTTTTTTCAAACAAATAAGTACTAAATTCACGTGATTTTTTTATTTAACTGCACAAATATTACATTGCGCGGTGTATCTCCCGTGATATTCCAAACATCTTTTTATAAAATTTCTTATCATATCGCGGGGCATATTGCCATCTAAACTAAGTGTTTGATTTTTTAAATTATTTATTGAGGTGAAAGAGTAGAGATGTGTGTTTGAGGGATCCTGGAGAGAGGGTTTGTAAGTTGAGCGAGACAATCGCAAATATCTTATGCCGTAGTGAATGATTTGCTTGGAAGTAAAACCATCCAATTGTAAGGGCTCAAAATCATTCAAGATCGCATTCAAGGCGTTGTGTTGCGGATTTTCCAAGATTTTCTTCTGAATACCCTTCACAATTTCGGAAACATACGCAGCACAATGATTTGCGATTGTCCTCTTTCTTATATATCAGTCGCCCCCTATTGCTAACTTCACCATCAAGTTCTCAAGTTAGGAATACTCTGGGTCTAGTGTGAATGGTTTTATATTAATAGGTAATGTCATGAATAATATAATTGAAAATCTGTAAAAATCGCCGCTATAATTTTACTTCTTTGGGGCACAATATTGAGCGTTGATGTAGCGTCTTTGGTTTCCTCTCATGCTGATCTAGATTTCTGCATAGCCATGTCATGACGCTGTTCGTCGATGAAGCAACAGTGAATGATCAAAGGCACAAATTTTATTCTACAAATTTCTTGATATGGCGCATAATTTAATTTTTCCGCGTATATAAGCATGTACATCTTGTATTGGGATTATCCACGTGGTGGGTGTAACATGCAGATTTTTCAAAATGTAGTTTAGACATGTCATTTTTTTATTGTTAATGATTTACATGCGTATGGTGTATGAATACTATAGCAACATATATGTTATATTGTAACGTACCTAATAAAAGTAAATAATTTAAATCAGGAGTATCATTTGGTATCCCTTCAACAGTTCCTAGTTAGTTATTCAAAAAAATTCATTCATTTCTATAAAAACAAAGATAATAACGTATTCAACTGTTGTTCCGTTTCCGATATGGTCGTGTACGGACGTGCCGATAACGACCGTCCACAAAGAAGGTACGCGGACGCCATTGTTGGAGACGGAATTCATTTCGTGTTGTGAATGTCCGCCGTTATATAACGTAGCAGCATCATTTAAATAATAATAGTGGTAATAAAAAGTGTTGTGTTGAAATTAATAGTACTTCCATTCATGCCCGTTGGAGGTCGGGGTGGACCGGATGTCCACGTGGGAGTGCTAAAAGTGGAATAAATTTATGTAATACCTGCTCCCATTCACGCCGGTTGGAGACCGGGGTACCGGATGTCCTCGTGGGAGTAAGATCGCAATAATAATATTTTATGAAGCAGACGATAGATTACATCCAAGCATACTAGACCTCGTTCCGGACACAGGCTTGATAGCTGCAAGACAGTCTTTGTCCCCCGACGAAGCTTTTGTTATGTAACAGCCAGTTACGTAACAGGAGGAGCATATGTGCCTGAAGATAGGAAGCAACGACCATCCAAAATAGAGAGAATTATTGCTCCACATATCAAATTCAATTTTTCCTATTTTGTATTTTGATTTAAGTGCAAACAATATATACTTTGATACAAATATTAAGAAAAAATAAGGAAAAATGAAAAATTCTCCACGAGCTCTTTACAATATTTAATTGAGCAACGGTTATTCAATACAGAAGTTTTGTTCTGACAATATCACTTATGACTCATGAGTTTCAAATTGAAATGGCTGAAAAACCAGGAAAGGTAACATAACATCACTTAGAGTCGAATATGGAGGGACTACTTTTTTTAAGCACTTTCAGGGTTCCTATATAGAGCGGTTTTGAAATTATGTCCTCCAATGACGTCACTGATAATCTTGGGCGAGTTCTTGAATTCAACATGAAATTTCTGTTGGATTGCTTCAACCAATAGAAACGCGATAACGTATCGAATGGATCGACCGATCTTACCTTCTTTCAAAAAATTTTTCTTATTACTATGTGTATAACAATACAGCTGTCGATAGTTTTTCCTCCCAAACAAGGGAGCCAAGGTGCAACTGTCTCAAAGCACTCCACATAATCGTCATTTACATATTTACATGAAAATGGTGAAGGCTACATTTCAAAAATTCGTGTTTTTTAATCACAATTTTGTATCAGCGTCATCAAAAAATTGAATCGCAAAAATATTTGCTTTTGAAACTATGTTTTCTCGCAAAAGACATCATAACCTTCATAATGAATCATTCATAAATAAAATTGAAAGAAAAAAAATTATCGTTACTATTGGTGTTGCAAAAGCACATACATACATAACAATCATTATAGACATTATTGTGTTAGCCTAGCAAAACTGATAGCAGTGCCCCCTTCACCACTCATTGATTCGAAACATCTCTCTAAGTTAATGGCTTTTGCTTCCATTGAGGCGCATTAAGCCATTTCGAAACATCTTCACTTTACGAGATGATTTTGAAATGATTTCAATATTTGACAGACTTGACGTCATTGACGAAATAATTTCAAGGAGAAAATAGAATGATGGCAAAAAAGGATTTTACGAGTGTCAAATGTCAAACGTCAATTAGATACTTCGGTTTGATATTTGAGAATCGATAAGTTTGGTTAATTTGTATTTTCATTATTTATAATATATCGTTATTGAACACAAGTTTCCTGTTACAAGAATCCCAAAATAAATTACTCAAATGGCGAAACAAGGTATCATAACATTTATAAAAGGTATCTACCAGGATGAATTTAAATGGTAAATAAAAACCCATGCCTTGTATTTATGAAAACTTTCAAACAATTTAACTTTTAGGTCGTTAGTGAAATCAATAGGGATGTTTGCCCTTGGAATCCGAATTGCCCAAGAATGTGCTGGAATAGAACTACTACCATCTCAATAATCTCCCAGTGTTATGTACAGTTCTATTAGATATTAAAAACATTTTTATTAAGCTGTTCTAATTTCAGTTATTTTCCTAATCATTTCATTATCATTACTTTGATGCTGAATTCATACAGTGAATTTCTTTTTTTAGCACAACGAAACTAAGAATGTTTTTGAGAAAATGTCTAGAAAACCAAGGAACACATCGAGTAATTTTAGCTTGTTGCTTTAAAGTAGCTTTAATGAACTTACTTTATGGATTTTCATCAAGTATCGGCCGATGTTCCTAAAAAAGTAGGATCTGGTACGAGAAGGAACAGTCGAGGCACATTTAAAGTTGATAAAGTCCCAGACACACTGCTGGGGTCGGACCTTTCCTGCAAAAACGGGAAGTAACACCCTGTAACTGGTCTGCTGGATGAATAACAAACATCTACGAGGCTATCCTTTGTGAGGTAACTTACATTTGTGCGGTAACTTACATAAAGGTTTATAGGTTATAATTCAATGTCCAACGTGGCATTCGCCGGGAAACTAGTTGTTTTCCAGTATTCACCTGATCCTGTATAGGAGGAGGTGAATTTTTTTATTCACTTCCTTAATCAGACGAATGATACAGTGATCAGATTTGCTTTGATTTCTATTATCATGGGATATCTCGAAAAGCTTCAGTAAAGGTATGCATTCATTGTTGTTTTCTGGGAAATTATTGTGAGCTAGGGTTGTTTTTGATATTGTCTACTGAAATATTCTTTGTACCTTCTAAGAAAAGTTTTGAAAATAGATAGGTCATTCATCGGAGTTATTCAATTTCAAAGTTATACATTCAAATTGTTTAGTAAAACCACCTGTTGGGAAACTCGAGATATCAAATAAAACAATTACAAGAAATGAAAGTTGTTTAATCAATACTTTTTCATAATATAAACTCACACAGACACACTCAACACATCGTTGAATTATCAATATTTAGATTCAAATCTTACATATACCAAAACAACAATAAAACTCAAAGAAAAAACACTTCATAATTACATTATCATTATAAACGAGAAAATTTGGCATAATGTGACTTTCAATATTAAAAACAATGTACAAAAATACATCAAGATTCATTTTAATACACAAATTGTATAAAGCCTCTGGTGTAATACTTGAAACAAAAAAATGAGAAGCTGCTCTATCAGACTATACGTTTTTGAAAAAAAATAACTTTTTACATAAAATAATTGAGACCATTTTTACAGGCACTAAACTTTAGCTATTGTTTAGCGAAATTTTTGTTACCATCAACACTACAGTACTGTTGGCATTCCATGTGCCAATATTTGATTGTTATAATTGGGAGTAAATAGTAAAACGAGCTATCATTTATTCCAAAAAATTTCAAGACAAGTATATTCTGATTTGTCTTTCCCGTCATTTTTCACATCATCATCAATGTACCGATTACTTTAAAAATGTAACACCTCTTTTGATATGTAATATTGGTGATATCGAAATCAACAAACTCAAACATCATACAACAGTCTGAAATGCTCCTCAAATGAATTCGGAAACTTATAGATAAATATAAACTAAAAAAAGTGAAAATTAAAGCAAAATACAGTGAATTTGGTAATTAAAAATTCATTTTCCTAAACGATAATCCCGTTTGAGGGACTGAGTGGTCTGCAAAAAATGGTCCCAAATACATCTCATTTGTTTTCTCAATATCACCTATTTATTTTCGTTAGAGAAAACATCATCCAGTGGTTGTACAATAAAACAACAGACAACATTCAAAAGGCCCAAAAATGGTTTCAGTTGAATGTGGATAACAATATATATTACCATTGGGGTCCATTGAATTGGCAAGATGCTGGAGGCCACAAAGAAGATACGAAACCAGTTATTCATATTAGAGGTGACCGAACATTCTAAATATTCACAAAGTAATTTTCGTTTCCACTCCATCCCCACTACTACTTACTACCATGTTTTTAGGATTCAGTCTTTCTAAAGAGTCTATATTTTTCTTTGTTCGTTTTTCTCTTCTGATTTCGTTGCTTATGTTGGTACTTTGAGTAGTGTTACCTAGACTTGAGGATCTGTAAGCAAGAAAGACATTGATCACACAATTAAATTGAACAGGAAACATAAACAAATGAGAAAAAAATATAAATGAAGATTTCTATGATACCTATATTTTCAAAAACTTTTTAACTGTCTTCAGAAATAAGGTAAAAAGTATTTCAACATACCAATAAGCAATAAAAAACTATATTTCATACTATACTATAGTTAAACTCCTCTGATCTTCACAATGATACATACATAAACCTATTATTCCCCATTTATTTCAATAAAAACCAACTCACATGTTTTTTGTATAGACATAAACTGCTCTCCTTTAGTCAGCATGGCGTTTGGTAGAATACAAATACTGAAACAGTCTGTCATGAATTCAATGATTCCACAATAGGATTTTTTAAAAATGTAATGAATTTAATGACTATTTCATATTACAACTCTACCTAGACTGCCAGTATTATATAATCATAAGTTTTATTGCATGATTCATAACACCCATGCCTAAAAACATGATTCACGACATCTTTGATCTCTTCGGGTACTTCTTCCATGAATTTACTAGTTTGAAAAGAAGTATTGTGAACTACAATTGATCAGTTTACCTGGACGTTAAGCTGCTTTGGCTGTCATGCAACCTACTCGACGTAGGTTTGTGGCGATCTCGCTCCCAAGTGAAAGACATTGGTTGGTTCTCAACTGCTGGACATAAGGTTTGAGAGTCGGACGTATGACTGGATTTTGAGCCCTGACTGTGCTTCAGAGGAGTCGGAGCTGTTTTGAAATATGCCCCTGCAGAATAATAAAAATAATAATCCATTCACAATATTTCTCCAAAGTATTGAATTCAAAGTAAAAAATAAGTAAAGGAATATTTGGAACTTTACGATACTAATATCTATTTATACAGTTTTTATTTGTTTTTTCACGGGTAGCTTCCAATTAGTATGCAAGAATCTATAAATATCAGATCGTAACACTACTCTACCTTTCCTAATTAATTAGTAGATTAAATATTAATTTAAACAGGTACAGTAATGAATTGAAATGAGGTGAAATAATTCATTTCCTTACAATAAATACAAGCGAAGGAATTTGGGCAGTGTGAACAAAAATGATGCCATTAACTTGTGATTCAACAATCAATATTTCGTAACTTATTTCCTCGGAAATATGAAAGATAACGGATCAAATCNTTTTTTTTTCGAGATTTTTGACCTTTGACCTCGAATAAATTTTTTTCCAGGCATCGCAATCATTCGGAATTTTAAAATCTCATTTTTAACTATGTTTTGAACAATTACACGCGTTTACAGCTTGTTGTGAATTTATGTACCTTCCAATGTCTGGATTGACCGGATTAATACACATTGTTGAGTAAGTCATCAAGAAAAATATACTTTTGCATTTAGACACATCCATGTCAATGCCTATACACCATTCTAGAAAAAATGTAATGTCCTTATGAATATTTTCGCAGTATATTATAGTTTTGAATATTTTCAAGTCATCAGCAAACATTAATACTTCAAAATGACTTATCTTAGTTTTGATATCATCAAATAATAATGCACAATAATGATAATTTTGCACTGACACCTGTCAGATATAATCCAACGCTCTTCGTGGCATTAGTCGGAGTAGTAATTGTTTTCTGATGGATGTCAGTCCATTAACATACAGTGTAGTGGCCTGAACGAATTGTTCCTTGAGATGATTTAATACACATTTTCTATCTTACCGTTCGTGCATCCGCTCTGCTTCCAAACTTTCAGTCTGTGTGAAATCTCACTGAAGTTGGGCCGTCTATTTGCCTGTTCCGCCCAACACTCTACCATGAGAGCGTAACAGTAACTGGGACAAGCATCGGGGCAAGGCAGAAGTTTCCTAGACCTGATCATACTTATGACTTCCTGGTTATTGTAACCATAGTATGGCTGAAGGGTAACTTAAATTCATTCATGTTTCGATAAATGCAAGGTCAAAACATACCTGTAATCCATAACTGTATATTTCCCATAAAACAACTCCATATGACCAAACGTCGCTCTCCGTTGTGAATTTGCCATACAAAATTGATTCTGGTGGCATCCATCTGACTGGCAAAAGGGATTTAGACTGTACTCTGTAACGAAAAAAAATCGATCCAGAAACAGTGATTGTAGTATCTTCAACGTACATAGTTGTGTGACAATCTGATATGAATTCAGGCAAGTCATTGATAGAAGTCAAGAATAACAATGGACCCAGAACAGATCCTTGTGGAACACCTAGTTTCACATCATAAGGAACTGATGTAATTCCATTACATTTAACCACCAAACTACGGTTTTTCATGTACGATTCTATCAAACACAACACATTATTAGGAAAGCTGATTATTAGTAATGTTTTCAATAGAAATTTGGAAGAAACAGCATCGAAGGCTTTTGATAGGTCTAAAAAAAGGGAAAAAACCAGGTTATTATTATCCACTTGTGCATAAATATAGTTCAATAGTTGGTAAGATATGGTAGAATTAAGTTACATCCAAAATTTAACGTTTTTTCTTCTCGTATGATATCATTTGTTATCCATGGCTAGGAAATTTTTTGTTTGTGAGTTTTATATTTTTGATAGGACACGAGAAATTGAATCACCATGAAATCTGGTCCAGAAAATAAGAAAAACAAGTTGTCACATCCTGGTAGTATAATTCTATCCAATAGACAAACATCAGATAAATTTAAAGTGAGACATGTCAAAATACTATTTGAGGAGTCATCAGAAACTTCGATTTTTAAAAATGGCGAAAATGTATTGAACATTGTATAAAAAACAAGACAACATGTATAAATTGTTAGCGCTTTGCATTTATGATCAGCATTTGTTAGTTACTTTCACTAATGGGAAACAGAGTATAGCTAGTTCCTGCACACTAATTTCTTACCTGTAATAGTCACAGCTGTACATGTCTCTACTTAGACCAAAATCACTAATTTTCACAACCAAGTCTTTGGATACAAGACAATTCCTGGCAGCTAAATCTCTGTGTACATAATGGTTGTCGGAAAGATATTCCATACCTAAAAAAGAGATTAATACGAGAGAGTTCAAATCTCAGAGTCTCAGTTTTTATTGTGACTTGAGACTGTCAAAAACTGAGGTTGAAATTACAAGATATTCCTAGTTCTTAAAGCTCCCACAAAAAGTAAATTCAAAGTAGACAATAATCTTTTACAACAGCCTTTACCTTGAGCAATCTGTATAGCCATGTCAAGAAATTGATCATGCGTCAAACATTTGCCTTCCTCTGGAGAATTCCCGATCAAAAACTCATGCAAATCTCCCTGAAAATGAAAGTTGACGACAATTTCATAAAAAAAGGCACAGTTCAAACTCACCTCTGACATATACTCAAACAACATACACATTGGCTCCTGCTTCATCACAACCCCCAATAAACATATAATGTTAGGATGTTTGAGTTCAGAAATCAGCTCGATTTCCCGTTGAAAATCTGCCTGGGTCTTGGCACTAGCATTTTCCTTGAGAGATTTCACAGCTACAAACATTTTACCACTTTTTGTTTTGAGCTCGCCTTTGTAAACTTTACCTATTGAAACAAATGATGAGCTGATAAGTTAGTTTTGTGATAGGAATAGATTCCTTACCAAATGCACCTTCTCCTAGTTCATCAATTAACCTAACTTCTTTGAAAGTATATTGAGCTACGGATTGGAAACCGTTTTTGCTGGTACTGTGATGATTTCTCTGTGGAGGAAGATTTGGTGGGAGTAAGGTGTTCATTTCCATTGGAGATACACTAGGTCCTGGACCAGGACTGCCATATATATTTTTGCTTACTTGCGGCAAATCCTTCTAGAATAAGACATTTTTAATGAGTAAGTCTGGAGTAAAGTGAAAAAATCAGGAACGTATTCTGATCTACTTACATTTTGCAAGTTCCTTGTACTTTTATTTCTTCTTTTGCAATAGCAGTAAGTGAACACAGTTCCAATGACTATGACTATTGAAAGAATTATCACTCCAACGTATGTTCCAAAAACATATACTAAAAAAAAAGATTAAAGGGTGTTAGATGAAGAATATTATCTATTTACATCTAGAATCACTCAAAATCATGCAATGACTCAAAGCTTAAAGATAGGTAGAAGCGATCCAACAGAAGTTATGGATGTGGCTCCAGTAGCCCTCAATGAGGGTATAGAGAAGATTGATATGACCCCCATACAAGAACTCTGACTCTATTGAGGAAAAATCATGAGCTTGGAAGAATTGATAATGGAACCCCAGAGATCCCAAGATCGTATATACAACCGTTGAGCAAATTTTGTACTTGGGGTTTTGATGAACAAAAGAGTGCCACAGGGACTGTTTTGAAGAATTGGAAGATCTAGCAGATAGGAATAGATTGACTGCATAGGGACACTCAGGAATCAAGATTTAGAGAAAGCTGAAGAGTGTGCCAGACAAAGACTATCAATTCTATAAATGGGTCCTGAAAAAACTGAGATGCTACCAAAATCTTTGATATGAGACCAAGTCAGAAAGTGGGTCGATAGTGGGAAAGTATAACTGGACACATGAGGGAAAACCTTTGTAAATATACTCTCTGCAATAAGAACTGCTTTGATAAAGCAGAGATAAGCTCAGAATAAATATAGAGCTATTTACAAGACACCTGAACAAAGTATAAAGAAAACCTTAATGGCAGGAAATGCAACAAAGAGGTAGAAGTTTAATCCTCCAATAAATTGAAAGTTAAGCAGGTAACTTTGGTCATCTCCACGACAGCGTTAGCTGTATCCTAGTAAACACAACGCCTTCAATCGAACTAAGCTTATTCAATACCTGACATGCAATAACCAATTAGGAACAGCATGTGCAAGACAGGAAGATTTCTTTTGATCTTTATATATTAGGATGTAAAACTATTTCCATAAGCTACTTTTAGTAATCTGAGCTACACTTGCTGATTCAAAAGAGTTATTTGATTTTGTTAGCAGTGTATTTGAAAAATCTTGATGGCATAATAAGCGATGAGTTGTTGAGAATTTGTAAATAGTATCTTCAACAATACTTTTACAATGAGAAGGGACTACAGAAAAGAGAAGAGGAGAAAAGTTTCAGTTTTCTCTCAACACCAGGAAGAGAGAAACTGGTCTTCCACTCAGACCCTTACTACAAACTAAACTTAAAACTAAAATATACCTACTGACTAGTACCAGTAATAAAGAAGAAGAAGAAGCAGACTAGAGAAAAGCAAGAGAAAAAAAAGATAGATAAAAGACAGAGAGAAAAGATAGGAAAGATAGGAATCCTTTTTATAATTTATTTTCACTTGCGAGGGCAGTGATTCCTTTAGGTCATGAAAGCGCCAGGTTGCATGACGACGCTGTGAGAATTTTAGTTTTTTGCTCTGAGTTAGGAGATATTTTCAATTATATTTCAATCCGTAATCCGTATCTCTACGATTAGACTACTCTACCTGCAATAGTTATGACCTGCCAACTCAGGATAGTCCGATGGTGGAATATGAAACTGGTGTGACCATCTCAAACATTTCTTACCCGATGAAGAAGTATCTTTGTCGCCTCTATACAAACGTCCCGTATCCCAATAACATTTTTCGTCTGAAAATACAAACTTTAGCTCTACTTTTCATTCAAATAGACTCGATTTACCCCTATTCACACTCAAATCTCCTACGCCCAAAGACAAACACTCTTTAGAACTTTCTTCGGTGTCATTCGGTAACTGGTCACATTCCTCCAGTTCCATAATTTGACCTAAAACACAGTAAGATTGAAAAGATTACGATCGTTATCGGCGATTGGTGCAACCAACCAATAACTAGATGTCTTTTCGCTATGCTGTATTCCTTAGTGCATAGCTCATTTTCCAGAAGGAGACATTCATCTTTACAAATCCTTCTCAAGTGAGCTGCCAGCTTGGTTCGAATGTTCTTGAATTTGACTTTGGCTTTGGTAGATACACTCATGAACTCTTCTCGATGATTCTCCTGATATTCGTTGATTTTCTTGGGGTCCAGGCATACGGAAAACGCAGAAAAACATAAGCTAGGTTGAGCAAATTTGTTGCAGCTCGCTGATATGTCACTACAAAAAAAATAAAGTATCAACATTTCCAGCGAAGAGAATAACAATTGTCCACCTCAATATTTTTCTTCTTATTTTCACATATTCTACTTTATATTGACATTCATACATATATAGTCCGGTCAAATTAGACTAAAAAATAAGAGTTTTCAATATCTGATATATGACATA